TCTCCGTCTGTTCCTCTCCTTATGACTAACCACCTAGGGCAGTGCCCTCTCTGATTAGTTTGCATTGAGGTTCCTGCAATTTACAAATTATAGCCCAGGATTTCCCTGCCTGCAGGGTGTGTGTGTGTGTGTGTGTGTGTGTGTGTGTGTGTGTGTGTGTGTGTCTGTGTGTGTGTGTCTCGGCTCAGCTAAGTGAGGGTTCCCTCTATCTCTCGCTCCAGTTTGTGGGGAGATGGTTTGTTCAGTGACCTCAGTTATATTTTAATGGAGAAAGAGTTGTTGGGTTTTTCTATATGTTCAGTGATTCACTTGATTAGGGCAGTTTAGTAACTTTTTTTTTTTTACTTTTTTATGATTTTATTTATTGAACCACCGTGAGAGCAGTTACAAAGCTTTCAGGTTTAAGTCTCGGTCATACAATGAAACACCCATCCCTTCACCAGTGCCCATTTTCCACCACCAAAAACCCCAGTATACCCCCCCACCCCACACCCTCCCCCTACTTGTGGGGCAGATGATTTCCATATTACTCTCTCTCTACTTTGATTACATTCAATATTTTGACATCAGACCCACCATTATTATTTGAGATTTTACCCCAACACTGAGATCTGCTGAAAAGGCAACAGTAGATAATTTGTTTTCTATTGCTGGTTATAGTTATAAATAACTTATGATGTCACGTGGCTGCAGTAGTGGCCACGCAATTTTGGAATTCCGAAATTTTAACAATTATATCTGGAGGGATTTCTGCCAAAACCTGCTGGGTTCTGAGATTTGTTTGTGAGTCTCTTGGATTATGGCTGTGAAGCAGCTTGATCAGGATCCAGAGAAGCTGTTCGTGGGCGGCAACTTGGGGTCTCGTTGGGGCGGGGAGGAAAGGGCCGGCTCCATCCCCATCCCATGAGGCTCCACGTGTCTCATCAGTGAAGGCCCAAACCTGACTGTCCAGTGGCCTCTGGAGGATGGTGGCCACCAAGTTGCCAAGGGGGAGCAGGCGGAGGACAGCACCCTTTTCCCCCTGGGGTGATCTGGCGACAGTACCCTACTGTGGGGTCTGGAGGCATTTCTGCCAAAAGCTGCTGAGTTTTTTGAGCTCCTGTATGCAACATTGGAAACTCAAAGTCTGTGGAGTCCATTTGTATTTTTGCTTTCCAGCCTTTCCTGTATAATACACACACACACACACACACACACACACACACATATACATATATATATATATATATATATATAGTTGGTGCTTAAGAAATTTTGCTGAAATCTGTTAAATATCATTGTTGAATGTCTACATTTTAAAGCACCACCAAACACTGCTCTAAGTACTTTATACATACATCACTGTATCACTGTCATCATTGTTCATCAATTTACTCGAGTGGGCTCCAGTAACGTCTCCATTCGTCCCTGCCCTGAGATTTTAGCAACCTCTCCTTACTTGTCTTTCCCAATGCTGCCATATTGGAGGCTCTTTCAGGGTCAGGGGAATGAGATCCATTATTGTTACTGTTTTTGGCATACAATTAATTAATTAAGTAAATAGTTAATTGGGACCTCCCAAATGATGCACAGTACATATGGGTGCCCCTTTTGCCAACTGTCAGTCAACTTGGTCAGTACTTCAACACAAAGACCTGAAGATATGGTGCTATTCAGGTCCCAAGGTGTCCAGATAACTGGGGCTTCCCTGGCTTGTTCAGGGGCTACAAGTCATATCTAGAGAAACTCAAGGGACCACGGATGGGGTGGTTTGCTTGTAAGGCATAGGACTCAACCCTTGCACTATCTTTCTGACCCCCATTCTTATTATTATTATTATTTTGTTTTTTTGGGTCACACCTGGTGATGAATAGGGGTTACTCCTGGCTCTGCACTCAGGAACTACTCCTGGCAGTGCTCAGGGGACATTTGGGATGCTGGGAATCGAATCTGGGTCAGCCGCATGTAAGGCCAATGTCCTACTCACTGTGCTATCGCTCCAGACCCCCCAATCTCTTTTAAATTTTAAAAGAGATTTAAAAGATTAAATCTCCTTTAATAAAAGAGATTCATTCTACTTAAATCTTACAAGAACTCATTTATAAGTATTCCATGAGGATACATACAGGTGAGGAAGCTAAGCATAGAGTTAAGTTTCCTGCCTCAAAGGAATATAGTCAGTGAATGGCAGAATCAAAACGCACCCTTAAATTAAAGTGTTGAACTTGAGAATTAACACTCATAACCACTATGTTCTATGACCCAACTACTACAACCTGACTTCACCATAGAGAATTCCCATTGTCCATCTGATGGTTTTTCACTCTAACTACTTTAAATCATTATATAACATTTTCAATGATCTCCCAAGCATGTGAAATTGCTGAAAAGAGAAGGGCTTCAAGCACAAATCCCTTGTAAATAATTACCCAAAAAAGGACAATAATTTTATGTATTCCACATAGAAACCAATATACCACAGGAGTTACCCAGAAGTCCATGAACTTCTCAGTCCATCAGAGATATTACACAATAGCTACAATAAATCTATCACGTGAAAAAAATAACTTCCATGTCCCAATGAGAAAAAATGTGTTCATTCTTCTCTATGACAAATTAACAATGAGTCTTACATAAATAAAATTCTGAGGGTACTAATGTTTTAAGCCAACTTAGGTTGTTCTGATTCCATTGCATATACATTGAGGTTCACCACCATTAACAGACAAGCCAAAGATAATCGCTGCCCTGTGGGCCCTGCCAGCTGTAGCAGTGAATATGTTGCCTGTTTCAGCAGCAGACACTCTGGGTTTGCAGTTGGATTGACTGTGCACTTTGTTCTCTTTATGAAAGAATGGCTTATTTGTACACTAAACTATTCTCTTCTTCTGACAACCTCTTAAGAATGAAATCATTTAGAAAACGTCCTGCTTTCATTGAAATTCATGTCGGTAGGTAAAGGATGTGCGAGGACTAGGAATGAATATTTAAAGTTAAAAAAAAATGCAGGGGCCAAAGAGATAGTACAGTGGCGAGGGCACTTGATTTGCATATAGTCGACTGAGGTTCAATCCCTAGCACCCCATATAGTTCCCAAGCACTTGCAAGGAGTGATCCCGGAGCACAGAGCCCTCAGATGTATAGATCATGAGCACCGTGGGTATGGCCCAACATTCCCCCCCAGGTAAAATAAAATTAAAAATTTTAAAAAAGCATGATAACCTATAACGGATATATTCTACGTTCACAACCAAGCAGACGTTCTGTGGTCATTAGCTAACAATAGGAAAGGTTATATCTTCAGATGTCTGACCCTATCATCACTTTTCTGCTTATGCGTCTTTTGGTTTGGGGGCCACACCTGGCAGTGCTCAGGGCTTACTCCTGGCTCTGCACTCAGGGATCACTCCTGGTGGGGTTTGAAGGACCATATGCAATGCCTTATTTATATTCTCTCTGACCTTGTCAAGAAATTTTAAAAGAAATCATACTCTTGCTAAATTTACTCAATGAAAACAATCGCTCTCCCAAGGGTATAAATAATATATATGAGAGCTTCTTCAAGTGCTTTCTGCTCAAAAACTATTTTGCATACCACATGTTATATTACTGTACATAGTTATATTATTGTACATTATATATATGCTATTTTTTATTTAATAAATCTGTGAATAACGAATACCTAATGTATTAAGGACAAGTTTATCAGCCACTTCTTAATGTAAAGATAACTTATGGAACAGATATTTTTGTTTGTTTGATTTGGGCCATACCTGATTGTGCTCAAGATTATCACTAATCTTGGGGGTCACTCCTTGCAGTGTTCAGGGGCTCTTATTCTGTACCTGGGTTTAGCCAGCCTCAATCACATGCAAGACAGGGTTTATTCTCAGGAGCTGTCATTAGCATCTAGAACTGATTTTTTTTCCACTCATCCGTGGTGGTCTCTGACTGACTGTTCTGTTTTTGTGCCACCCAAACTTTAGCCTTGTCTCTTCTGGGATGGTGAGAGGATAGAGATCACTGGTGGGAGCTCTCTTTTTTTTTTTTTTTGCTTTTGCTTTTTGGGTCACACCCGGAGATGCACAGATGAACAGGGGTTACTCCTGGCTCATTCACTCTGGAATTACTCCTGGCGGTGCTCGGGGGACCATATGGGATGCTGGAATCTTACCCAGGTCGGCTGCGTGCAAGGCAAATGCCCTAATCACCATGCTATTGCTCCAGCCTTGGTGGTATCTCTGTTTACCATTAGCCTCTTACCCTGCACTTTCCCACAGCACGTGCCCTGGCCAGAAGATCACAGCCTTGCAGGATGGAGGAGGGAGGGGTGGAGAAAGAAAGAAGTGGTAAAGAAATATGCAGGATCGCTTTCTCTGTCACTTGCTCTTGGGATCTTTTCTCCTGTGAGAGTTCTGGGCTTTATAGTTCCTTTCCTCTCACCTACTTTCCTTTGGCACTTCCAGTAGTAAATCAGAATATCTCGGCCAGACAACATGGTGTTTGATTAACACGCCTCAGAACAGGGAAACTTTATCATTCGTCATGTCAAGGTGACAGCCTAACAGTGTTTGGCTTAAAGCATACATGAAAAAAAAGTGGGGATTGAGCTACATGAATGAATAAAATGATTAGGGATAATGCATTTTTGGAACAACCAGTTGATTTCATTTATCCCTTCCTTCATTGGGGTTAATATGGTAACTCAAGCAATAAGAGAAAATTGGCTTACATAAGGCCCATTATCTTCTCAGCTCTGCAAGGCTTCCTTTTCTCAACAAATGATGAGACATGGCATATGCCAGAGAGAATTTCATTTTAAGGCAGTATCAGGGGACTTCATTAAAAGAGGAGGGGGAACTTTTAAATAAAAGAAATCAATCAATGAAGGGGTAATTATTCATTTTTATAAACCCTTCTAGGAGTAAAAACCAGCAGGAGTCAAATTACAAACAAAGTTACCTCGGCACTGGGTTATCTGAAAAGTTCCGAAATAGTAATTAAAGCAGCAACTTTCTTACCTTGTAATTATTCATGATTTCAATTAACCAAGGCTTAACTGACTGCATGGTATCATCTCTCAAGTACTTTTCAACTTTAGATCCATCACTAAAAGTTTGATTTCCCACATGGATGGCTTGTCTCACTTGTGGGAAGGCCAAAAATTTGTTGTAGTAATATTGGTCCTGAGGATCCTGGCAGAAGAGGCATCAGAAAGCTATTAGGGAACATGGTTGGGTGGTGGGTACAACAAGCTGAGGAAATTTCCACATTTTCTCATTATACCTACATGGATATTCATAGATGTGAACTAATGTGGATAGGGGTGTATTCTCAGGTAGCTCATATAGCAAAATGAACAAAGGTGTGGCGTTACTAAAACTATTCTTTTGACAATGTGTCTTCACATTTTATCTTGGTTATTTTACAGTGATTTCAGTTTTACTAACACGAAGATGGATGATATGTTATTCTCAGAGCAAATACCTGGCTTGCATATCTTAGATTTTCCTTTTGTAAAATGCATTACAAAAGAAAATTGTCTTCCTTATAAGAAACCTGTATATGTCTGTAACATTCAGCTTCCTCAAAGAAAAAGTAATACTGCTTTGTAAAAAGATTTTTTTAAAAATCTAGATTTTTAATTTGGGAAATGAATCGTTTGAAACCTATTTCTTCAATTAACAGGCTAAGATAGGAAAAATAGGAGTGAGATGATCTAATCGATCTAATTGCTTCTTGGAAAAAAGTTCAAATGGATCATTAGAGTTGGAGGTGTGGTTTGTTGCATTAAAAACTGAGGATTTCTTTTCCATGTTCCGATGATTATTTAAAAAACACACACACAAATAACCAACTGACTGTAACATAAGGGGACTTAAGTAACTTAAGAAACTTGAGTTTTTATACCAAATATAAAGACAGATGGTACTTCATGAAGAATAATTTACAAAAGAAAAACTGTCTTCCTTTTAAGAAACCTGTATGAGTCTATAACATTCAACTCACTCAAAGAAAAAGTAATAGTTTTGTAAATATTTTTTAAAAAAATCTTAGAGTTTTAATTTGAAATTCTTTGTACATCATGAACAACTTCTACTGTGAATACACCATACTTTGTAAAGGGAAAAATGTGATCACAAATGTTGTTTCCTCTCCCGCCTACCACATGTTTTTCTCTTGGTAGCCAAAACCACAGGGTTGGTGAATTCCATTGAAATTAGTTTTATATTTTGTTTACAAAATAGCTCATAATTAAGGCATTTAAAAACCAAATGCATAGTTATATGCACTAGAAAAAGATTATACAAATACAAATCCCTATTTTGACTCCCTTTGTCTTATTTGATTAATGCTACACAAAAGACATCAGAAAAATAGCCTACTTTTGTGAAGAAACAAAACAAAAATTAAAAAAAAACACTCCCCCACCCCAATACTTGATACTTTGAGAAATGTTCTAGAGAGCTTGAATTGAGGGCACCTTGCAATGAACAAGGTTAAAAGCATGACAAAGCAAACATTTTTATACAGGTTTTGGCAGTTTTGATTATCCAAGTACAGAACAAATAAATGGGCATTTTCAACAAACTATCTACAGGCGTGGAGTCCTGGGACTTGACACTCAGATCTGCAATTCTGGTCTTTATCCTCTACAAAAGAACCTCTGTATAATAAGCTCTATCCGAAGAAATGGCAAATCAGAAATTGTTCTGAGTGATCTGGAATACCTTACATTCTAGGTGCTCAGATTATAATGTTTAATGTACTGATGTGAGAAAAATCCTATAGACTAGCAGACTAAATAATGCAAATAGACATTTCTATCTAATATAAAATTCCAAATTAGAGAAGTTTGACTTTGCCCAAAGTTTTAAGCAAATGCTATTGTGGTTTTTAGGATGTCGCCATTACCTTGCACTGTAAAATGTTAAAATAATTAGAACATCCAGTAACATTCTCAAAGTAAGAAGGCTCAGTTGTTAAGTCACCACCTAGTAGTTTATCCAGTACCTAAGTCAGGTGAGAAGGGAGAAAAAAAAGGAAAAAGAACTATCAGAATGGGAAGACATATACAAGTATTTGCATTTTCTTAACATTTACTGTACAGCATTGTTTCATTCAATATTCAATTACTGCACATCTTTTGCTTCAGACATTGGCAGAGTGGCAGTGAGCAAGACAGACCCAAGTCATCTCTTGTGGAACTTATATTCCAGGGCGAAACAAAGTATTAGTAGGCAAAAAAAAATATGCAAAAGTTCTAGAAAATGGTAAGTGCTAAGGATAAGGAAAGACATTGAATATATAATGTGATGGGTGTGTGTAGGGAGTAAGCAGGGGGGTGGGGGAGCAGGGGAAGGGAACACTACACAGGAGGAAATGAAGGGTTTCATTTGGGTCACATCTGAGTAGAAAGTTGTTGTGAATGAGAAATATTTTCAATGCAGACATCTACTGAAGCACATTTCAGATATAGCAAACAGTAAGCCCTAAGGTGACTATTGTGGGATGGAGCTT